TGCAATTTCTTTACCCTTATTAGTGCTTTATGTAGTGCATTAAGTGTTGGCCCTTCATCAACTAGCCTATCTAAATTTGATTTTGTTGGTATCCTGACCCCTGCCTCTCCTTGACCATGGCTCTATCCACAGATATTAATATTCCTTGATGTTTACTGACAACTCTATCCATTCTGAACCAGCCACCCAGGTCATTACTCAACCTTTAGAATACACCCCTTCCTCTCTCCAACATTCTTCACTCCATCTACTGCACAGTCTTCTTCATTGCCCACCCCCTCCCCTCTTATTACTACTATTCATCCTTATTTGTGCCCTCCCCCCTCCCCAGTACTACTTCACTCCACAACACCCCATCTGCCTTTGTCCTTCAACTGCTTCAACCTATGCAAACATTTTGTGTACTCCTACTCTCTTTGGCCCAGCCAGCCAGCCATCTTTGCAGTTCTACAAACCCTTACTCTGAGAAGACCCTTCTCTTCCAAAAATGCCTTCAAAAATAAGTGGGCAAAGTGTCCTTTTGCATTTTTTCCCGATTGTCCACGCCTTTTCACAGTTAACTATTCCCAAGCTTGTGCACTATCTACCCTGACTTACCTCACTTCCAAACCTATACCTGCTGAACCTCACTCCTCTCTTAATACTTGTATTGGGACTGTTTGTCTCCCTGACTGATTTGTCTTATCTGTGACAAGAACTGGTCAGCCTGTGAAAAGAACCTATTTGCCTACCATGATTATGAAACTGTGGCAGTGCAGTGCTATGATATTCCTCCTAGAGACCAGTGTAAGTCCCACACCAATATTGGCAAGATTAGCTTCTGTAGACATGACCTCCCCCATGAAGTTTATCTTGGTGGAGCATCCTCCCCTGTCAGATCATATTGACCCCCTTCCTCATCAGTGTAAGAAATGTTGGCATTTTGGCCATTCAGCCAAACACTCACTCCACAGCCCACTGACCTGTGTGTGCCCAATCTGGTCATGACTGTTCAAATTGCTCTACTCAGTCACATACATGTGCCAATTGTGGTGGCTTCCATGATGTATTTTATAGAGCTGCCCTGCCTGTAAGCTCGAATATGAGGTAGCATTTCTCAGATTCAAACTAGGCCTTATTCTATATAAGGGCAGACAGGAAGCACAGACAATGTTTTTCTCTCTACCAGTTCCAAAACTGTCCTCCACCTTCTCACTTTACCTTTTGCACCAGGCAACCTTAACATTCCACTCCATCTTCAACTACCACATTGTCTTCCTCTGCTCCTCATTTTCGCAGACCTCTTCAGATAATCTTAGACTTCCAAAACTTGCTAAACCTGACCCAAGGGAATACATCACTCTTTCATCTACCCTTAAATCCCTCCACTCCCCTTCCTCCCAACACACCCCATCCTCTCCTCCTGTATGTGCCCAATTCCCTCTTCATTCCCCATTATCCCTACCACTCCCATCTGTAGGATCACATTCTGTTGCAACAGTGTCCTTCTCGGATCCCTCCCCCTCTGACATTCTTCCGGATACTCCACCACTTCCCCAGTCCCCTTTTCTCATTCCCTGGATTATTCTCCTCCTCCTTCTCCAACAGCCATCTCTGTTTTCCTTAAACAATGTCCCTAATCTTTGCCAGGCTTAGTTACACTCCATTTCATTAAATTGCTCTAGCCTCTTAACCTTTTCCTCTTTTTCTAATTTTTACTTTACTTCACTTGCTCCCCCTCTTTACCCTTTTCACAACCATACTATCTTATAATGTTCTATAATATTTGGCATCTATCACATTTTATACTATTGCATCACTGCATTCACCCAGTTGGTTTTCTTTACTCCTTTTTGACACAATACTTTACCATAGTGGTCTATGACCTTTGTTGCCTAGCACATCTATTTGTTTTGCATGTTAACCAGTATCTAAAATGTACCAGTGTATAATGTACTATGATTGTGACCTTACACTCCAGCAATGATCCAACACACATCCACCATGCATATTCTGGCAAGATGGAACTGTTTTTGCATCTGTTTTTGCCATAGTCAGGAAAGCATCAGTGGATTCATGTAGTTGGTGCAAGGCTCTAAACCGCAATTAGTAATGTTATTGTCCTCACCTATGATTGGTCTCTTGGTCTAAGGCTAATTTTATTTGGTTGTCTATTAACAGTCAGGTATTCTAATGTTTGGGCAGTAGTTACAAGCAAATGCATATCCCTTAAAAACAAAAAATGCATCAAACTAATGTTTGAATTTTAGTGAAGGCCACAGTAATTCTTGCTAATATCATTTGTTATATTGAAATAGCCGTTATGTTTTCCTTTTGTAATGGAAGCTATATATGAAACTGTCATGTAGGTCATGCATTTCTCTCTCTCTCTCTCTCTCTCTCTCACTCTCTCACTCTCACTCTCTCTCTCTCTCTATTTCTCTATTTCTCTATTTCTCTCTCTCTATTTCTCTATTTCTCTATTTCTCTCTCTCTCTCTATTTCTCTATTTCTCTATTTCTCTCTCTCTATTTCTCTTTCTCATTTCTCTCTCTCTCTCTATTCTCTATTTCTCTCTCTCTCTCTATTTCTCTATTTCTCTCTCTCTCTCTATTTCTCTATTTCTCTCTCTCTCTCTATTTCTCTATTTCTCTCTCTCTCTATTTCTCTATTTCTCTATTCTCTCTCTCTCTCTATTTCTCTATTTCTCTCTCTCTCTCTCTCTCTCTCTCTATTTCTCTCTCTCTCTCTCTCTCTATTTCTCTCTCTCTCTCTCTCTATTTCTCTCTCTCTCTATTTCTCTCTCTCTCTATTTCTCTCTCTCTCTCTATTCTCTCTCTCTCTCTATTTCTCTCTCTCTCTTATTTCTCTCTTCTCTCTATTTCTCTCTCTCTCTCTATTTCTCTCTCCTCTCTCTCTATTTCTCTCTCTCTCTCTCTATTTCTCTCTCTCTCTCTCTATTCTCTCTCTCTCTCTATTTCTCTCTCTCTCTCTATTTCTCTCTCTCTCTCTCTTCTCCTCTCTCTCTCTCTCTCTCTCTCTCTCTCTTCTCTCTCTCTCTCTCTCTCTCTCTCTCTCTCCTCTCTCTCTCTCTCTCTCTCTCTCTCTCTCTCTCTCTCTCTCTCTCTCGAAAAGAGGAAAATGATGCTGATGTTGGCTTTGATGAAATGACATTGTAGGAGAGCAATTGAGGTAGACCTTAACTAAATATTCTCATTTGGTCTTTCAGCACGGTGAGGCTACTCCAGGAGCTACAGGATTTTTTGAAGTAACTGTTGGGGATAAACTGATCCATAGCAAAAAGGTATGTATATCAATATTTTCTGTACAAGCTGAGGCATATATATATTAATAGTTTGCCTTAAAATCAAGCTGGCTGTTCTGATATTAAACAAGATCAGTACAAATAAAGATTAATGAATAATGATGGACATTTGTAATTGATCAATCCTGCATCTTTATTCCTCACAGAATGGTGATGGCTATGTTGATTCAGAGAAGAAAGTCAACAAGATAATTGATGCAGTCCACGATGCACTTGGTGACTAGAGTTTAACCTTCTGTGGACGGCCTGATTTGTTGTGAGTACATCTATATACTTTAGCATTTTGTTGTAACTTATTTGAACCATCAACACTAAATAGGACTTGAATAATGGAATTTGCTTGGGATAACCTTTGGTTTCCTGTGAAAATGTTAATCTGGCTATAGAGCTCCCATATTGTTTTATCATATCTGTTTTTGTTGGTTATATATATATATATATATATATATATATATATATATATATATTTTTTTTTTTTTTTTTATGTAGTGTGCTTATTTGTAATGCTTAATAGAATGAAAATGAATACATTCATATATTTTGTTTGTCATATATAAACAGATTTCTCAAATGAATATTAAGGGTAAAAACATTTTTTTTTTTACAGGTGCCTTGGTAGGCCTCTTTGCGGCAGGGCTGCTGAATATGAAACATTGTGCTGAAAACCCTCTGCTTGGATGGCACTTTGTGGAGGAAAAGAGGAGCCCTTTCAAGGTTGCCTTAAAGAGGTCTTCTAGAGCACATCAAGAGCAGGTTGTCCTCTTTTACCAGTACCTTATTCAGGGATCTTAACTGTAATGCCTTTGGCTCATCTTGCATAATAAAATTTATCTCTTAATACGCCTGTTTTTCCCCCCATAGTTTTGGCAATAGGGTCCCATTTCTTTGAAGAAACCTTTGCTTTATTTATTTACTTGTTTGGCTTATTTTATCTCGTCTCCTTATCAGCTTAACCACCTGATTGTTGAGTTCCTGAATCAAACTGTTAGGCCTATTTCAGGAATTAAAATTTTATACTAACTGGTTTTCCTCCTAAGCTCCATCTCTTTCCAAAAACAGGAATAACAGAAATGTCTTTTTCAGGTATTAATATTTATTTACAAAATCAATAATCAGTATATATTAACTCCACTATATGCAGCATATATAATACCAGGACTATATAAATGTCTACTAATTACTTCCTTTTAGCTGTACATACAAAAATGGAAGCCTGAAACTTGGATTTTACATTGGGATACATGCTATAGTTATAGTACACAAGTAATACAGAATAACTTCTAGAATCACATGTTCAAGTGCTGCTTGTAGTTGGTTGAATTTAGTCTGTTTCACATGTAAAAATAAGAAAAAGATGATTTTTCTTTGTACCAAATGTTTTCAAATTTACTTTACCAGTAGTGTTACAACTACAGTCAATATATCTAATGGTTATGATTTCTGTTGTATTATGCACCAGTTTAACCAATCATATGTAGGATTTATACTCTTCCACATATATATATATATAAATGTCTAAATTAGCATGCTTGGTAAGTTTATATATTCTGTTAAAGAATTTGCACCACATATTCAAAAGCTATCTTATTTTCCTGTTTTAGCACTGCCTTAATATTCATTATATACATGGTCACCTATTTATATATGCATAGCTGTAACTTTGTATTAAATTCAAAGAAGTTTAGCTTCCATATATATATATATATATTTATAAGAAAAATCAATATCACTTACAAAGAAATATTTTATATTAAAATGTATTATAAAACTCAAGCAGTAATACAAAAAATAAAAAATAAAGTAAGGCCTTAGTCCACAAAACTACATGCCCAGCAGACTGCCAGCTCTCTAGCCAAAGTCTGTGTTGTACACATGGGGGCTAGTGTTTTGGCAGGGTTGTCTATCCATATTTGGTGTCAGTCAAACTACCTCAGCCTGCTTTACCTAGTGATTTTGCTCAAACAAGGGCATGGACAGTCTGTTTACCAGTTAACTTTTTTCAAACAAAAGACATTGAATGTCTGTTGGGCAGTAGTGCTTGATCATGTGGAAAGGGCTTAAGCAGCAATGTCCAATCCTCATGTGAATAATGAAAAGGTAACAATGAACTACTAATTCACAGCAGACAACACAGGTAATATCTTCATTGTAACCTATCAATAATCTTTATACTTGAATAATTTTACCCTTTGTATCACCTTTGTAAATGAAACTACACATCATATTTAAGTCATAATGAAACTTTCTAAAAGATTTTTCATAATTGGTTAAACGGAAATCTAGCATTAATAGAATTAGATTGTCTTTATACTTAGTTGCAAAATCAAATTATGATACTATTTTTTAACTGCAAATTCATATGTGATATAAATGAAAGGGAAAATTAATTATAACTGACCATCAAATAAGGATAAACCAATTGTAGATTTGCATTGTATTCAATATAGCAAAAATCATCACAGTGGCTTAATGAACCCTTAATGACAAATCAACCATTTACAGTAAAAAGCCAGTTTATCTGAACGAATGTGACATCACAAAAATCAAGTCTGATGATGAAATGCCTAACCTTTTCAGAACTATCACCTCAGCATTCAGATAAACTCATAATTATAATGCTGTTTCTTTGCTAGTGCGTGAATAAACTGTTGGGCTCTGTCCACAAGATCAACCAATAACCAATGGACTTTGCCAGTTGGTTTACCAGCATATTTTGCTTGAACAATGAGCAGTGAGTGCCTGCAAGGCAGTGCTAATCATGTGGACAAGGCTTATGCAGCCATATCCAAGTCTCAAATGCACTAAATCCCAATCACACACAATTATTCTGTAATATTTTGATTTCTACGATAGCCACAATCCTCAAAATTATAGTCGGAAATCTGAAAAGGGTGCTTATATGGTAAATTTAATTTCCAGCACTAATTCAGGCTTCAAGTAATGATGGTTAGAAGCATCAGATTACTGATAAAAATGGCCAAGAATTCAAATGGAATATTGAAAATTAATGGGAATGCTCCCCAATAACAGATAGGCATCATTTACATGTAAGAGCATTTCTTAAACCTTTGACAATAAAACTTAACTTTGACCAAGATTATACATCTTGCTGACAAATCTCATTTGACTGCTGAAAAAGTCAGATGAACCTGTTACCTATAAAGTTGGAATTGGAAAATTATAATGTTCTTGTATCTATTACTACAGATTCAAAACAAACAGAAAATATAAACATTTTGGATGGTTAGAAAATTGCCTGACACAGAGAACAATGTGAAAAATCAGTTATATTGTGATTTTGAAAGAAACTGCTTTTCGTGTATGATTGTTTGATTTTAATTCTCTGCACAGAATTTAATCTAAAGGCCTGTCCACACAGGCAGGCAGGAACAGAGATGACATCATGGGAGGACAAACTACTTATCAAACAAGTAATTTCCTCATTGTTTCTTTGCCCATGATGCCACCTCTACAGTTGCCCACTGATTAGGCCCACTCATTTGGTCAGGTCTCTAGGATCTGTCCACACATTCAAACAGTGCCTAATGGACATTGACCAAGTATCAGGCCAAACCTATGTTCTGTTGTACATACTGGGGCACTGTTGTCTTGCCAGAATCATCGGTTATACCCAGCAACAGACAAAATATCAGGCAAATGACCTTATCTGCTGATTTCGTTTGATCAAGGGGCCAGGACCTCTATTGGTTTGCCAGTCAATTTTGCCCAAACAACGAATTGAGTGACTATTGGGCATTGCTTGATCACTTGGACTTACTGTGACATTTATCTATATTCTTGCACAATGGTAAATCATTCATTAACTTTCAGTTAATGACAGCTATAAAATATTTCCGTGATATTCTAGGATGATTGCATAGTTAATCACAGATGCTAATTAGTATTCAGTGGTATAGATTCGTTTCTATACTGTTTAGTAGAATAAGCAAGGGTGTAATTGTAGAATTTGCAATTACTTTTCACCAAAACGGAAATTACTATATGAAGGCAAAGAGTATCCTGATTAACTGAATATTCATAAAGTCATTCTGAACTCAATCTAAGAACAGGATACTATAACCATGAACCTTAAGATCCTTACTTTAATTATAAAAAGTGAAATTGAGGCAGCATCCTTTAGATTTCTTTAAGCAGTATTTCCAAGATATGGCTGGCAAGAATTCTTAGAAAATATCTGCTACATTCATAAATAAAAAGGCATTAAGTATGTTATATCAGCCTTAAAAAATCAAATCTGGCTTGTTTCTTTCTCTACCTAAAGCAGGGGTGGGCAAACTATAACCCGCAGGCTACAACTGGCCCATTGCTCC